CAAATCCTTTTTGTGCTATCAAAGAGAAATTATCTGTTGTAGTCAATTATGATGACCAACAAGAATTTAATTGGCCTTTGACTTGCCAATTAAAAAAAAGCATTGTAGAACCTTCAGCCCTACATGCATGCCAGACAATGGGGAGGCCTAATGAGACAGCAGATGGTGTCCTGAGGAACCTCCTCCTGCAACTTGGTAGCACTGAAATGACTGACACATATTGTCCAAAAGGTTTTATAATGGACGTACGTCAAGCAAGCATGGGGGCTACTCACTGGTATCAATTCCTCCATCCTCCCGGAACTGCCTGCATACTCCACCAAAATGCAACAGTGCAGGGTTGGACAATGGATCCCATGATTTCACCTTAATACCCAGTGGCAGTCATTGTACTGTTGCCTAGCCTGCAGAGGTCTGCACATCCCTCCACGGAAATGACTCCTTAAGACAGTCAGTGACACCCCCCCAAATTGGTGATGTTAAACAGTTTTACAAGTAGCAGCATAATGTTCACATCTACTCAGGGTGAACCTGCTCTCATCTGTTGGAGTTGGTCTACCTGTACAAATTCTGTAGGGTTCAAATATCACCTCATGCGACCAGTAATGACACTAACCCCAGCCAAAGGCAAAACTAGTGAAATTAAACAGTCAAAAGTTGAAAAGGGGAAAAAAGATCTGACCTCCACCTGTAAAACCATTCCTGTTTTGAGGTTTCAATGTTGTCTTTCTAGTGCACCTGAAACTGATTAACAACTCCCTCTGCTACTTGAGTAACTGGATCAATATGCCATAAGTGTAAATGATGTGATGCTATATTCTCAAGTGTTCCTTTATTTATTTTTTTAGCATTGCATTTCACCCTATATTGGAGGTTGGTTTTCAGGCTTTTTTGCAGCTGTTGCTGTAATAACCATTGACCTGCAATCATTTTAATTAACATAGGCCTTCCCATAACTTTCAAAATCTGATGTTCACAATCCCAAACAATTCCAGGGTACGCTGCTAAAAAATGTGAGCACTTTGTTTCAAGCTTACTGAAGTAGCTGAGCTGTAGCTCAGGAGGTAGAGCAGGTCACCTGCTGATCGGATGGTTAGTGGTTCGATCCTGGCTCCTCCAGTCCGTCGGAGTATGAATGTGTCTGAATGTGGTTAGGAAGCAGTATAAGTATAGAAGAAGGTGATTGTAGCATGTTGTATAGAGTGCTATGAGTTCTCTGGGAGAGTAGAAAAGCACTCTATAAGATTCAGTCCATTTACCATTGCATATGACATGGGATACTCATCAATTCTTTTATTTTATTGCAATAGAATTGTATATGGGTTATTTGATTGAGTTTAAGCAAATTTCTGAAAGGTTTCATGATTGGTTTTTAGAAGATGAAATGTTGAAGATTATAGCAGCTGAAAATGTATTTGATGTTTTTATATAGAAAACTGGTTCTTGTAGAGAACCTGCTCCAGTAGTCCAATTCATTAGAATTGTTAGTCTGCCTGCCCATCGATCTCACTTACCGGTTCCAGTTGCACTTGCACTACAATCAGCTGATTTCAGTTTGTGTGTCAGACAAGGAAAATAGCAGCACAATCTATAGCATGGATGTGGACATTTATTTTTATTGCACAAAAGGACGAGAGTGTGATGGTAAACTTTAAACTATATCAAGACAAAAACAACCATGCTAACACAACTTTGGCCTGCACAAAAAGACCTGCACGGACAGCATGCTAATGCTAAGCTAGCCAAGAACCAAGAGTGAAAACTGAGTGAATGCCGACCCAGCACCAAGACCCTTAACATCAACAGTAACATACAAATGAGCAGTCAGGTTGCAGTTTCCATTTCTACCATGTTTGAATCACGGTGGTCATTACTTTAACGTCTCTTCATGCCGGTTTTCATCTTTGCTTTGTATTCATACCTAAATACTAAGAGAAAGATCATATGTGTGTCCTCATTAGAACATGTATTTGTGTTGCTGTGTTGAGTTGTAGTATCAGGTTTATCTTGTTAAATGGTAATTATGAGAGAGTGTGTTTCAGCTATTTTACAGAGAAAGTAATGTAATGAGTGGTACAAAGAATTACTCTCTCCTGGGAGTAATTAAGTAACGTACAGCATTTTTTTTAAAGTGTGAAAAATATTCTGTGTAATATGTGTAATAATTACTTTTTGTAATACTGAGCTGGGAAAGCCCCTCCCCCCGCGACCCTGGCAAGAATAAGCGGAAGAGAATGGATGGATCCCAATACTGATCACAAAAAAGAGCAGAAATATCTCCAACATGCACAAACATTTGCAACATGCGCACACTGTGTGGTGAATAGTGCACACGTGAGATGTGATATATTTTTATATGCTAGCAATGGTGGTGACTCTCAAAGCAGAGCTGATGAAAACATATTGATAAGTTTTGAACTTATTGAACTGATAAGGAATTGAATCTATAAGTGTTATCGATAATGAAACAGGGATCACTAAATTCTCAGCATTCCTATCGCTAGTAATCCTAGCAAATGCAGTCAGTGTTGTATCAGTACACAAGTAAACCAAAGTGCCATTTAAAAAACATTTTGTTTTTCTGTTTGCTTTTTTGTTTGTTATTTTTTTGTACATAACACATGAAGTTTTGAGATTCTCATTCTAACAGTGTTTTGAATACTATGATTTTCAGTAATTTACCACTAATTATAGGATATTTTCTTTATGGTGATTAAATACAGCATGTAGGAAAAGGTGATTGCATTGCATTTAATTTCAAATTGTAATGATTCATTTGTGATTATTCTACTTCATAAATACCATCAGTTATACATATTGCACAGCAGTCACTTTCATTACTCTGTGGCCCCTGTTGTCATTTACAACTTTTCTGAGCTAGATACATGGCTATTCTAGCTGTTATACACAGTTTTATTTTAAAAAGTAACTTGTTGCCCACCCTGCTGCTTCAGGGTCCATGTCGCTTGCTTTTAGCATGTGATGTTTAGATATTTCAGCGATAAAATATGATTGATTTTGAATGTGTAACAACCTTCTTAAACCCGACACTTTTTTGCATCACTTTATTGCATTTGTACACATAACCATGATTCTCATTGTAAGAAAATGTAAATACAGGAAATTATTATTCCAACACTAGAGTGAAAACCCTGACTTTGATTTGAAAGTCTGGGTCAGCTCAGCTGGTTCCTCAATAACCTTGATGGAAAAAGGCTGTATATGCCAAAACAAATGTCATTTCTTACTGGCCTCTCTG